GACGCAGAGACTAGGCACGCGGCAAGAGCACACGAGGCGAGCACAGGGGGAGACGTAGAACACAAGAGCAGCCAGGCCAGAAGAACACAGACCGACCAAACTGCGACGACCTCGCTCGCGTATCTCGCGAAATCAAAGAAGTGGAAGCAGATGGATGACGGAGGCGCGCGCGGTTTTATCGAAAAGCCGCCACTTGGGGACCAATGGGGCCCCCCGTCTGCGGCCAATCTTTTGCAAGAATATGACGAAGCGCAACCAATAAGGAGACCCGGGAAACCCTTGCGGCGATGTTTGTCGGAGACGTTGCGGCGGTCTCCTTCTTTTTTGTTTTGCTAGATAATGTCTGGGAGTATATGAATACTCTGCAAATATTTGAGCATATTTTAGAATATTCGCCGAATATTTTAAAGCAACTCCCTGCGTGCTCGAATTGTTTTTGCGTGAATATTTTGCAATAAGATGAGCGACCGCGTACCCAGTTTGTGTCGTGCGGGAATCGAACTCGATGCGAGGGCATGGGCGTGCTCGTCGAGTTCTGCGATGAGTTCCCCTCGTGGGGCTACCTGGGCGAGCATATGTCAGCACGCTTCTCATTAAAAAGAAAAGCTTTGAAGTTTAAAAAAGAAAAAGACCGCCACAGCGTCTCCGACAAAAGTCGCTGCCTCACTTAATGGCTTCGACTTTCGTGCAGGTGTCAGCTTTGAGAGGAATACCCCACAAGAAGACGAACCGGGCGAGCAGCGCTCTCGCCTTCAAAAAATGGAGCGGGGCTCAACGCGTTTGCCCTGCTTTTCCCCGTCTCAAAAATGCAGAAAAGCTGGCAGCTTTCTCCATTGTGTTACCGGTTCCACTTCTCTCGAATTTTCTGTCGGAAACTGGCGCACAGTTGAGTTCGACACTTTCTAAATTTTTCAAACCCAAAACAACGAAGGTGAAAGGCATAAAGAAAAAAAGTACCCCACGAGTGGAAAAAAATTCCACAACTCGTTGCCTGTTTTGCGAGTCCCTTAACGGTTTCGAATTTGTCGAATGTTGTCACTTAACAGCTTCGGAGTCCATGCAGGTATCGGCTTCGAGCGGTACAGCTTGCCGCTGGGGAGGTTTCTACACTAACGACACGAGTGGGGCCCTTCTTCTGTTGACTCCGTAGCGCCAAGCTTCTGCCCCGCGGGAAAAACTTCAGGCCATGGGATATCTTCTGCCAGGCCTTCGCCTGTGCTAGCGCCTGGCCTGCTGCATGTTTTTCCGCAAAGTGCTTCCCAAGATGTCACAACAGGACCGCGGCGCAGTGGTGGCCACCCCGTGGCATAATATAGAGGGAGGCGCAAGGAACAAACGAGCGAAGCAGCGGACGCGAAACCGATAAGCAGGCGCCAGAAAAGCAGAAAGAAGAAAAGAAGGCAACACGCGAAACCGATAGCAAAGGGGATGGCCCAACAGCAAAACGCGGCCACGCCTCGAGCAAGACCGGGGGAGGGAAACGGGGGAAGAAGGAGGCAGAGAAATCGGCGAGGGAACCGAGGCAGCGCTGTCTCTTAACGGTTTCGCGTAAGAGTTTCGCGGGGCCTGAAAGCTACAGACTTACAAAGCAACAGCTGCCCTCGGCTTGTCGACTTATCCCGGAAAGGCTGCTAGGCAACTTCCCGCACCAGCGCGCGTCTGTTCTCGTTTTTTCGGTCTATCGCGGACAGGCTGCTAGAGAGCTGCGCGCTCCTTGTCTTTTACTGTCCACCCGTCGCGGGCTCGCCTCCCAGAGTCAACCCAAAACCTCCCAAACTGTGACCGAGGGCATTAGTGATTATTTTCGTTTCGTATTTTTATGGAAAAGCGTCCCCCCTAAACCTCTCGGGTTTTCTTTGACTCTCCCAGCGCTGCTCGGTAACTTTTCTGCGCGCAACGAACTCTTTTCAACTTATCGCGGCCAGCTACTTGGAATCTCCACGGCGTGCGTCTGTCGTCGACTCCTCGTAGGCACTCAAGGCCCCGAAAAGAGGCGACTCCTTACAGGATCACCTTCCACACTTGAAGAAGGCCACACGTTTCAGGTAGTTGCCAAGCTTGCCCGCGGTCTAATGGCGGAGCCGAGTTTTTGGCCATTGCCAGCCGATTTTAGTAGACCTAAAAAAGAAACGACGGCAGCAAAATCGGGGCGCCTTTTCGCACCTGAGAGGGGAGACGCCTACCGCGTAGGTATACTCTCACACGCGTGCCAGCTGCTGCCCAGTTCACAAAACTCAGACGGGCAGTCGGCCCGCGATGGGTCGATGACGTGCGCGGGCCGCCTTCGCTTCCCCTGCCGGCTCCCACGAAGTCCGGGGCGTTTCGAGATCGCTTGGAAGAGCGGGGCCTTTGGAGCAAAGGGCCACAAGTCCGCATCCTCAGGCCCGGCTTCGGGCCTGATGCTCCAAGCCTGGCAGCCGTTCCGACTTATCGCGGGCCCCCGCTTCGTCCGAATTATCGCGGGCCCCCGCTTCGCCTGCTGTTTCCCCCGAAGTCCGGGACACTTGCAGACTTTCCCAGGAGAACGCCTAGAAGGGCGAGGCGTATGGAGCACAGGGCCACTAGTCCGCGCCCTCGGGCTCGGCAGCTCGCCGCGCTCTTGCAGCTCGCGACGGCTTCCCCTGCGCCAGCACGGCGAGCTCGCTGCTGCTGGGCTTCCTTTTTCGTTCGCAGTGGCTGCGGTGCAACGACCAACAGCGCCGGGACTCTCTGCGACTCCACACTGCAAGAGTCGCGAAAAGTCCACAGTCTTCCTTTTTCAGTCAGGAGTCTCACGCCTCCCGATTGAAAGGCCGCGACCTCGGGCCCCGTAGACCTCTACAAAGGGGGGCGCTGCCCCGTGGAACCCTGCGAGCGCCGTCTCCGGCTGAGGAGCGTGACGGCGTGACGCGCTGAGGGACGTGACGCGCGTGGGAGCATTGGCGAGGCGCGTGAGGGTGTGCATGATCTAGAGCTGTCCGACTTACGCGATGGCGCTGGCCCAAGAGCTCCGCCGTAGGTCTGCTCATCGACTTGCTGCCCCCGCTTGCTCCTCATTCGGTGGACCCCTGCGGCGCTAGCTAACTAGTTTGAGACTGAGCGAGTGACAGAGACCGCCGCGCGCGTCACGCCAGGCCTCGCCCGTATTCTGAACCATCCTGAGCGCCTCGCCACGCCCTGACAAGGAGCACACCCCGCACAGCTCCCGCGTTGTCCTGAGTAGTTTCTCCAAACATTCGGCGGGGCTCTTCTTGTAAGCCACTAGAGCCGAGCACCCGCGCGCCTGCGCTACCTAGTGGCCCACAGATCGCGGGTGACTCGACTAACCACGGCGACCCACTTGGGATGGCTGGCCCGCTCTCGGTTCCTGACCCGAGCCCCCTCAAGATAGCAGACAAGTGCCCAAACTGCATCGCTTACCCGAACCCGCTCGAGATAGCTGACCAACGCACAGCATGGATAGGTGACGCAAGCCCACCCGCACCACGACCGCCGCAAGATAGCCGACCCACGACACAGCCGGGGCCATTGCGTTTAACACCGCAAGCCGCCTGCTGTGGGTGGCTCTCTAGTTGTTCAGTGGACAATACAAAGAAAGCAAAGGAGCCGCGGAGTCAACTTGACTCAGATCATAAGGCCGCTCACGGATTTGCCTCAGATCATAAGGCCGCCCGCGGATTTGTCTCATATCATAAGGCCGCCCGCGGATTTGTCTCATATCATAAGGCCGCCCGCGGACTTGTCTCAGATCATGAGATCGCCGCCGGATTTGTCTCAGATCGTAAGGTCGTCCGCGGATTTGTCTCCGATCAGAAGGCCGCCCACCGATTTGCCGCAGGTCCTAAGGCCGTCCCCGGATTTGTCTCAGGTCGTGAGGCTGTCTGCGGATTTGTCTCAGGTCGTAAGGCCGTCCACGGATTTGCTCCAGATCATAAGGCCGCCGCCGGGCTTGTCTGAGATCACAAGGCAGGCCGCGGACTTGTCTCAGGTCCGAAGGCTGTCCACGGATTTCCCCCAGATCATAAGGGCGGCCACGGATTTGTCTCAGATCATAAGGCCGGCCTTGGATTTGCCTCAAGTCATAAGGCCGCCCACGCATTTGCCTCCGATCATAAGGCCGCCCACGGATTAGAGTCGTCCCAGATCATAAGGTCGCCCACGGATTTGCCTCAGATCCTGAGGCCGTCTACGGATTTGCCTCAGATCTTGAGGCCGTCTACGGACTTGCCTCAGATCATAAGGTCGCCCGCGGACTTGTCTCAGATCATAAGGCCGCCCACGGACTTCCCTCAGATCATAAGCAAGGCCGCGCCTGGGCAGCTCCGTCGCGCTCAGTTATAGAGCGTGGCGCATAGGAGCAACCAAGCCTGCCGCCCTATAATGCGGGGGAAGGGGAAAGGGCTTAGGTCTACGATCTATACGGCGCTCGCCAGGTCTAGCGGTGTAACCCCTACGGGGCTTGGCTGCACGTTCGGGGCCGGGTAATGATTGGGCCCCATGTCCCACCTGGTTCCCTTAAGAACTAACGGAGCCCGGTCGAGGTGTCACCACAAACCCAACGAAACAAAACATGCGAGCTCAGTCCCGTAAGCCTAGCCCGACGAAACTGCCTCAGCCAAACTCAGCTCGCCGGACTGAAAGGAAGCCGAAAGCAAAGAGGCAAACGCGACCGACCGTGCTCAGCTGATCTAGACGCACGCCTGAAGCCAAACTACCTGCACTGGCCTTCGATTAATGGGTGCGGTATCTATAAGGCGCGGGCTTCGCTTGTGGAGGGAGGGCCTTTTTTTTCTTGCTTGTTTGATTTCGCGGACAATCGTGCGCCCTGGACGCGGTAGTTGTATCAGCGGCTTCGCCCTTCCTCGCATTCATGGGTACACCACCAGTCGCCTCGTTGCAGAGATATGGTCGGAAAATAGAATCGCGCTCCATCTTTCGGTATTCATTGCAAAACTTCAGAGGAAGCAGAGAGATCGGTATTATTCGGGAATTCCCAAATTCGTTGTTTCGGAAACAAAATGGAGAAAATTGCAACGACCGCATAACTCGATGAGAATCCATAGTGTTCCCAGAGAACAAGTTACATATCCCGTGACCGACAGATAAACGCGACAGGCAGTGTCCACTCAGAGGAGGAGGATGCAACAGAGTTGGTTGCAACAGGCGCGTTTGAGCAAGAAGCAGTTTTTAGAGAACAAAATATGACGTCGCGGACGTCTGCCGCCGCAGGAGAGTATCTCCATGGCGTAGCGGACTACCTAGAGCGCGTTCAGCTCTACCCATTTTTTCACGGCCTGGTGAAGGAGCTGGCCTCGCGGCAGCCCGAAGACCCGGTCGCCTTCCTCGTCGACTTCATCTCAAATTAAGGATACAACTAATAGCTTTTTCATCGACATGAACACCCCACGTGGGGCCCCCCGCTTGAAATTCCGTGTGTAGAACACGTAGCTTCGAAGGGGACAACTACTCAACAAGAGACGAGACAGCGACTTCGCGTCGGGAGTCAGGATCATAATGAGCGACCATCTCGTCTAATCAGGGCAGCCGAGCGCCAGCGCCACCGCGCGCAACCGCAACAGCGAGTGTTCGGCATCCGTGCCAAGGATATTGGTGATTGGTGAGGGGAGTGAGCGCTTAGCGCAGAAGCTCGTCGCAGACGAAAGCATATTCGGCCGGGGAGTCACGCCCGCAGTATATGATGGCAAGAAGGTACTACTTAACCAATGTTACTTTCATACTAAAGTCATAGCGAAACTGTTTCATTTAGAGGATGCGACGTCGGTCTGTACATGTCACTTTTGCGAATTTACAGCCTTTTTTATATGCACCAGCAGTAAAGCAACAACCTGCGAGTAACTACAGCAAACGAAAAATAGATGAAAACAGTCGGAAACATTTTGAAGAATGAATGTAGTACCTTCCGACTCTAGGAATTTTCGGACGGGTCGGGGTCACTTGTAAAAATGCGGCAGACAGAAAACTGGGTGTGTTATGATTACCCACGCAGTGCAGCAGAGGCACTTGCGGTAGAAGAAGCACGCGTGTTGATTTCTCTCGTGGTTATTCTCCAAGACCGATCCGAGCGAGAAGGTATTTGTTTTTCTCCTAGCAATTGTTCGTTGTATTAGGCCTAGTATATGGTTGTATAAATCTTCAACATATCAAGCGGCAACACGAAGAACCTGTCTGAGGCGCCTTGGACGAGTAGGTTCGACCCCGGCACTCACTTCCATAGTCGCCAACATGTTTCTTTTCCATCTTCGTGATCATCATCCGTGGTCATGTTTCTGACGAACGATGTTTTTTCTTTTCTTCTTCTCTGGATTGGTCGTCCCTCATTGGATTCAATCAATCGGAAATAAAGGTTGATGACCGACGTCCTTCCAGCACCTAAAAAAAGGACTTAGTACACTGTGACTAAATAGATTCTCATTGTTCTGAATGAAGAAATGCTTCACATAGCAACGGCGGCGGACCATGCTCTGGCTGGTGTTGTAGCGCAGCTTCCCGAAAACCTGATGTGTTTCGTTGACCATGACGAGGCACTCGACGAAACGAACCTTGCCATAATAGCGAAACGACTCAAGCAGAAACGCCTAGAGAGTGCACCGACCGCAGCACCGCAAATAATAATACACTTATGGTGCCGCGAAGACCGCTTCAAAAGGCATTGTAGATTTATCATTTGAGTATTCCGTCGATGTCAGAAGATTAGCGGCCCCTATCTGCCGCAACTTCTAGCCTCTACCATATTCAGATGCATACTATCCTGACGAGAATGCTCCAAACGAGGAAGTGATTCTTTGCTAAAACTAAATGGAGTTAGAGACTTATCTCTAATTGATGGACCACGAGGCAGTGGTTGCACAACGCAGGCCGAACTTCTCGCCAAGAAACGAGGGCTGGTAAAATCTATCCTGTTCCGCGATGAATTAGAGCATTATACCACTCCTCCTGATGATGGTGGTGTGAATCTACTCGGCAATCTGCCTCGGATTTCCCTGGAGACTTCTACCCGCTAGGCTAGCCTGTTGCTGGGTTGTCAGTGGTCTTGCGACTGTTCCCGTTGGTCCTGATATAGAACGATGGGCAGGCTTCTCTTTTGCTACTTGTGCCCAGCGGCTTCCTCCTATTTCACGAAATTGATTACCTGGCTCATAACGAGTTTCTATCGATCAAGGAACTTCTAGTAGGTGACTTTATTGCAGACCTCACAACACTATGAAGAAGTCACAACACGAGAGATTAAAAATGAATGAAGAATGTTGTAACGACACGTTACAGCGACTGCTCTCGAGAGGGTATCCCTTCATCCTCGACAAACGTTTATAGGTGCTGGTGGATGCGCACAGGCTTTGCGCGGGTTCGAAGACGAGCGAGGAAAGAAAGAAATTAGTAGAGGCACGCTTGGCTCGAAGAGACGCAAAACAACAAGGGTTCGTACTTTGCCATTATCCAGCAGCCGCTGAAGAGGCCATGTCGCTCAAGAAGTATTTGAAGGGTCTCTATCCCGGGGAGCCGAAATTAATACATCTCCAGGCAAATGGATGGAGCTGCGGACGCAGATTAGCTGCGCAGATGTACCGGGACGCCGGAAGCGGTAGAAGAACTTACAGCAACACGATAGTTTTTTTCAGAGAAAAGAATCTTGTTTAGCGCAGTAGTTGTTGTAAAGATTCCAGCGAATAGTTCAGGATCTTTTATCAACTCAAAAACTTTCTAGGTCGCATCGCCGCACCTTTGGAGGCAGGCCCACGGGCATCAATCAGTGGACCAGACTGCGATCATGCAGCGCATGAAGCGTACGCTTTGCTTGCTGTTATTCAATTTGACTGAGCAAAAAATGTTCTAGGTTTAACTCCACGATTGCTTGAATTCCTACTACTTGTTTCCTCACGACAGAATACAACGAAGCTCAAATCAATCGCTCAACTTCAAGCCCACGAGACACCGACCACGACTCGATAGTCCAAATACTGAAATACTCTACCAGGTACATTACATATCGCCAGCACATTAGCGCAATGGCGTATCAGTTTTCTGACTGGACAGACATCGATGCTGGACAATCGATACAGCATGTCAGTGAGGAAATTGCTGAGGCTCTCGATTAATTACCCGATCCACCGCCATTTACGATGGAGATTGGATAAGTATGCTTGTAGCTGCGCGACTGCAAAAATTACTCCCGAAATTCACGATACCGATAACAACTCAGTTTAATAAGTTTGCAAAACCGAAGATACAGGTGTTGTATGGAACAGGTAGTACAGTGTGAACAGCTTTTCTCCCTCTGCGTTTCAAATGATGATTCGTTTACAACTCTCTAAGATTCTTGAACAGTTTGTTTGCCTTTGCGCATCTAGCCTCCCATTGAACGATGAGGCTGGGTTATTGAAAGGCCAATGAAATTTAAGATCGTATTAATGCTGCATGAAAAATCCAAAAGACAAAATAACAAGTACTGTCGATTCCTGCTTATACCCAAAGTTATCTTAAGACGCGATCCCCGTGTACGTGCAACTATTCAGACTGAATTTTTTTTACAACTTCATGACGTTAAATGACTAAGAGAAATGCAATTCAGTATACGGGTGGACCTGGATATTTCTTTTTGTTCAAGTGGGCTGAATTGGAATCGACCCGATTTCCGATCTCTATGAGAACCTGCTGTCCGCTTGTAATCTAGTCCGAAGAAAAAACTCGAATTTGCCCTCTTGGTTCTTTGACGGCGCAGTAGATTGATTATTGCTTCAAAACTTTTGCAGGTCCATACTGCTCTGGGGAATGTTCCTTGCTGGTTCTCTCTGATCTTGGAAGAACCTGTTCCTTAATAAAATACATTGCACGCCACTAGAATCGCTACAGTGTTGGGCATAATTTTTCGAGGACCTGTGTCAGTATCATAACAAACGACAGAGACCACCGGCTAACGAAAATTATCTTCAGGTTTTGTAAATACAATCAACTCGTTTTGTGCCTTTGTCAATATTCCTTCTACAATCACTGGGTAAGAATGTTGTGTTGCTTGTTCAGCTCTGATAGAAGAGGACAATCCGGGTTCCCCTCGTTGTTGTAACGCTTGGTACTTCTATGGTGCCTTAGACTGTTCACATCTGTAAGTAGTACGTCAAGAACCACCTTAGCTCAAAAATCGTTGTCCAAAAAGTGCATATTAAGCTGCTATAAAAGGAGGTAACTCAAAAAGATGGCGCACTCTCTAGCGTATGAGATCAAGAAGATTAACGAGCTGAACGAAGCGGAGCTCGCAAAGGGTCAGTTTGATCTGAAGGTCTCATGGCACCGCGAGTTCCGCGACTCAGCGTACATTCGGGTGGACCACGTGCACGCGCAACTGACGGAGGGGGATTTAGTGGTGGTCTTTTCACAGTTCGGGGAGATCGCGGATGTGCGGTTGATTCGGGACCAGGAGACCGGCAAGAGCCGTGGTTTCTGTTTCATCTGTTACGAAGATACGCGCAGCGCGGTGTATGCGGTGGATAACATGAACGGGTATTGCTTATGCGGCAAGCACATGAAGGTGATGCACGTCCTCAAATACGAAGTGCCGATCTTACTCGACGAGACGCAAGTAGACGAGGACGGAAATTACGTGCAGCTGGAATACAAGCCGACGGGTCCCGAGGGCTACGGGGTGGGCGTCACGCAGCAACTCCCGTCTGTGAAAACATCTTCATCAAATGTCGTTGCGGATGGCAAAAAGGATAAGAAAGACCGAAAAAAGGATGGTGGAGGTGATAAAACTAGTACCAGTAGAATGCTCACCAACGGAGGCTCCGCTTCATCCAAGCAGAATAAGATGCATGCACCTCCTGGAACCGTTGGCATGGACGAGGATGACGAGGATTTGGCGGCCTTCGAGCAGCATATGGAGGACTCGAAAGTAGCGGAAAAAGAACGTGCAGAAAAACGGGAGCTCGCAAAAGAAAAGGACCGTCTAAAAAAGAAGGAGAAGAAACGAAAGAAGCGCGAAAAGAAGGAACGGAAAAAAGAAAAGAAAGCTGCTAAGAAACAGGCCAAACGTGAAGAGCGAGAACGCCGTGAGAACGCAGAGGGCACGCGCGGCAACAAAAACACCGCGTCTGCCCTTTTAGGTCTGATGCGAAAGGGCAAGGCCCCAACAAATGCGCCAGGAGGTGCTGCTTCACGAACAGTAGCTACCACAAACGAGGAAGCATCTACTGCTCGGGAAAAATCAAATCAAAAGAATAGTATGGCAGACAAGGAGCAGAGTGAGGGTGAGTCATCGTCCTCATCGTCGTCAGAAAATGACGACGATCCTTCGAGTAGCGAAGGCGATGATGCGATAGGCGAATCAGGCAGAAGACCAAACGATAACACATCGACGAATCGACGAGCAAGATCACGGGAGAGACGTCGATGAAATTCATTTACCAATTACAGTCTCTCTTGTGTTGTGAATGTTATTGAACTACGACATATTTTCCATACAACGTCGTTTCAGTCCAATCTACCCTCCCCTTCAGATCCTCCTGTCCCCCAACGACGAGTTCCTAGTATATCCGTGTCTTCGACAAAAGGTTCTTGTTCAAGAACGTGAAAGAAAAATTAGGAGAAGATTTTTTTCTATGGTGTTCTTCAAAATCAAGCTGAGGTGGTTCTCCTTAGATTCACACGGCCACCGGCACTTCATTTCCATCCGCGTAATTAGAGCGGAGTGAAAAGGTGGAGTTCAGAATTATGTTTTTTGTAGTGTTTTAGACTTACTTATCTCCAATGTCCACAACAAGCGGGATCAACGAGGCGGAAGATGAGAACGATGGACTGACCGAATGGCAGACGAGGAACCACACTGGATAAGCAAAACCTAGGGTCAGAATCTTATTTAAAATGTTGACCCGGGTTAGGAAGGGTGAGTGGGTACTTATTTGATTTTTGGTTTCCAGTTCTGCGTCTGGAAAAAAATGGAAGTAGCGGCTGCGTCTGCGGCATTTCAACAAATATTTGAAATGTTGATCGATCATTCAACACCACACGACCACGAGGTACTAATTACTTAGCTGCGCATGATTACGATTACGAAGCGCGCAAGAGTTTTATGGGAAAATACAGATTGAAGACCTGCTCCACCGTTTCCGTCGTGCAATGCCACCATCATCGGAGCGATTGCTTTTGGAGAAGGATGTGGTGGAAGATTCCGCGGGACAAGATCGCAAAGCACTTGCGCTCTTCGCCGTTGTGGCAGTGGTCGTAGTTTTTATCTTATCAGAGTCAGGCGTTTTATCTTAGGCCCATTTTTGTTCAGAGCATGGATCGTTTTGATTGCTGTACAGGTTTGAAGGGACACTTGCGTGTTGTTCCTCGAAAAAAAAATCTCTAGTGGATAATCAATTCTCACGCGTTAGACTTAGATTTGGGGTTCAACCTAGTTGTAAAGTAATTGCATAGCATAGCAGTTGGGAGGACGCCCAACAGGACTGCCAGTAGAGCGAGCACACCTGCTCTTTCGGTTCCATCGTGTTCTCCAGAGATGCGATTAACAGATTAACATGATGTGGATACAAGATAATCTGTGATGGTTGAAGTTATAGAGCGCAAAAACGTGGTCCATCCTGGCGCAATGAGAGGATCAATCGAGCGTCAAAATCAATGCATGATAGTCATATAATGGAGGACGAGCAATTGCAGTGAAATATAAGTTTCAAAGGAGTAGAAATCAAATCTGTTTGGACCTTCTTCAGGCGTGAAATGCCGATGTCGGAAAACGTTGTGCAGACCCCACGACCCGCTTTGTTGTAATTTGTTACCAACCCCTGGTTTTTTCTTTAAAGAAAATCCCAATTATCAAACAACGCTATTACTGGCCGTGTAAATGTAACCAGCTCAATTTTTGCTGTACTTAACATATTTCCGCAAAAAGTTTACTATGGGTGTCTGCGAACACATACTTAGCATCAAAGTTTCTTAGCTCCATGATAATTACTATGTCATGTGTTAACAAAAATCTTAAACGGTGGCCTGTCTCTCTACACCTCGTGTGAAGGAGATAGAAAGGCAACCTATCCTATCCTATCCTATAATCTTAAACGGTGGTTTATTTTTTTTCCGCATTGAATTTGAAAAACGTGCATAAAAACGTGCACATCCTGAAAACTAATCATGGATTTTTCGCGCATCTCCATCGGATGACGATGTTAGCATCGACGGCTTCTGGGGAGTCTTGGCTCCCTGCGCTACGTGGTTGTTCGCAGGCGCGACGGCGAAGACGAGCCGGGTCGACACAACGAATTCCACCGCTGCAAGTTCTTGATTTCCGGGCACGCGGTGGCTTCCTTCCTCCACCAGGTGCAATAGCAGGCCGCTCGGCTACTCCATGTTTCATCCTGCTTTGTGCCTTTTTGCTCCCTCTGCCCGCAGCGGCACAGGACAAGAACACCAGCGAAACGGGAATACTATTAGTGGTGCTTTCGTTTGCAGGAATCATCCTTTTAGGCGCCTGCATTGCAGCCAAGAGGTACGTGCGCACCAATGTGGTGGGAGATTCAAACGCGGATAGAATGTTCCAACTCGAGACGAAGCTGGAAAATATGGTGATGCGTTGCGCGCACTTCGATGCGCACTACGATGTGGCGGTTGGAGCGAAAGGGCCACTGCAGCATCCGACCTTAGACTCGCTAGACAAAACCGTGTGGAAAACGAGGGTCGTCGACAAAAGGCGGAATTGCGGTAAAGCCTGGATGCCAGAGCACGTTGAATACGACAACAGCGGGAATCCAGTATTTGATATTTTTTTGCAAGTAGGCTCTAGTGTCGCTCCTAAAAGCCGACTCTTCGAGGAATTATCAGTTCGCGATTGTTTTCTACTCCGTACGATTTTCATTAACAGTTTTTATAAAAAAATGAGAAACACGTATAATTTGATATGTTACAACTCTTCTAAGAATCAGTCGAGCGAAAGCAAGTTAAGTAGATCGTCACAATGCTAGTCGATCGTCCTATTCTTATCCATGAGCCTAGTAGAATTGGTCTAAGAATACTCTATCACAACAGATTGTCTCTGGTAAGTTTAGCGGATCCTATCGTTTCGAGCTAGATTTCACCGCCGGGAAGAGTGTGAATATTTCGGGCATAGGATTTGACGAAGCCGACGGGACCTCGCAAACCAAGGGTTTCTACGACGAATCAACAGGCGTTATGATCTTCGAGGAAAAGTTTGAACGGACAGGCGACGACGGGGTAGAGAAAGTCCGGGCCATGGTGGAGATGGTTTTATGGGCGACTCGAAACTATAGCCTTTATATTTGGAGCAAAGTCGATAAAAAAACATTCCTTCTACCTCTATCTATACGACTTAGCGGAGTATCAAATACAAAACGTGAATTTGCTGTCTACCTTTTTCCTGTTATCTGCTTCAGTCGGGTACACCCGAAATATTGTTTGGAGATGAAGAGGAGCAGTTGTACTACCTAATATGAAGGCGAGATGGTCGGATGCAAAATATCTGTCTCTCTCTGCTCTAAGATTCGTTCTCGGCCACACTGGGCAGATTCGTAGTATGCGAGGCAAGGCAGTCCCGTCCACGAGAATAAAACCATCAGTTTTGCAGGTCGTAGAGATCACGGAGGGCGACACGTATGTGCCTCAGGAGCGTGCCTCTGCAGAATGGGCCGCCGAGCACAGAAACACTTCTACACCGAAACGCAAGGGGCGTGTACCACCGAAGACGGCTGCTATGCTACGGGGAATGAGCACTGTCTTTTCTGGAGTGCCAATTACAGTGGTACCTCTTTATTCTACTCTCGTAAGTAGTTAGAGATGATCTAAGAATTGTTTGGGGATTTTGTATTTACTCGCACTCAACATTTACATCTAGTTCAGCTTCTTCTACGCACAAGCAACTGCGTCACTCTTTCATGCTTAGAGATGAAGAGGCAAAAAGCAAAGAATCCTTTATATATTCCTCAACTTCAGGGTCCAACGAAAATTACACCTGAGAATGACTTCGCGGAGCGTGTCAAACGGGAAGAGAGGAGCGCTATTCAAGTGCAAGCGGCTGCGCGGGGACGCATGGCTCGTAAGATGACTCAACCGCTGTTAGAAGAGCGCCGCGAGGCTGCGGTGAAAGCGAATCGGAAAAAAAGAACCGACATCAAATTTTTCAGTTAAGGCCAGAAAAGCACAAGTATCTATTGTTGAGGACGCCCCGCTTATTATTTTCATTTGAGTAATTGCGCAGTGGGTGCCTGTTTTTGCTTACAAAGCAGCTCAATGCCATTTATCTAACGCAAAAGGTAGGCGCTTCTCGTGCATGTAAGAAAATGTTTATGTTTCATCGCATCTAGGACGAGATTCTATCTTAGAAGCATCCTTATGAATTACTTACAAATCTGGAAGTCCTATTTTCTAATTCTCCGAGGATCTACAAGAAGTGCAAGTACAAAGAAAGAACGAGCCGAAAGTCCATGCAGCTATGCGCGGGAAATATGTTGAAAGCATGGGCTCTGAGGACACGTGTGCGGTCAAAATTCAGGCGGCGGCTCGCGGACGCATAGTGCGGAAGAAAACTAAAAGTATGGGCAGGGGAATGGCAACGGGAACATGATTGCTTTTTTTGAAATGTAGCTTGATGCTGGTGTGCTAGTACTAATACGATGTTGAATACTTTTACTTTTAATGCAGATCGACATTATCCTAATTTACTTTCGCTAATGAACTAAGTTGAGCTTTGTACAATGCAGATATTGCGATCGGGTGAGTCAAGTTCTGTGACTGACTTGCCTCGGATAAGTAGTGACTATGAAGTCACCACTTACCCGAGGCGTTGCGTAGGCCGCTCTGTGCTCGCGTTGCTTAAGCAGTGATCGCGTGTCGGTTAAGTAGCGACCGCGCGTCGCCTAAGTGGTGACTTTCGTTTGACCGCGCGTCGCTTAAATGGTGAAAGTCACCACTTGAGCCAGGCGGCGCGTAACTATTCGGTTACCCGCCTGTGTCGCTTAAGTGGTGACTTTCGTTTATGGGGTGACCATGCCTCGCTTAAATGGTGACAGTCACCACTTAAGCGAGACGGCGCAGAAGTGTCCGGCTTAAGCCTGGGCCGGTCACCACTGAAGCGACGCCTGCTCACCCAGCCTGAGTGTCTCGCGAAGCACAGGAAGGGTGCTCCCTTGAGACCTGCCCAAAGCCGTTAAGGGGCTGCCCCTTAAGTGCTGCGCGAAACCGTTAAGGGACTGCTTCTTAATCGCTGCGCGAAATCGTTATGGGGCTGCCGCTTAAGTGTTGCGCGAAACCGTTAAGGCGCTGCCCTGTTAACTGTTAAGGGACTGCTGCCTACGTGCTGCGCGAAGCTTCTGTTTTAAGTCGCTGCCCCTTAAGTGTTGCCCGAAGCCGTTAAGGCTCCGCCCCCTAAGTACGATACCGTTAGGGGACGGCTCCTTAAGTGCTGCGCGAAACCGTTAAGGGACGAGTCCTTAAGTACGTGCGAAACTGTTAAAGGGCTACGCCTCAGGTGTTGCGCGAACCTGTTAGGGGCCGGCCCCCGTGAAGTGCCTCGTGAGGCACCTAACGAACGGCCCCTTAAGTGCCTCGTGAGGCACATAGCGGACGGCCCATTAACTGCCCCGTGAGGCACATAACGGCCTGCCCCTTAAGTGCCTCGTGAGGCACATAACGGACGGCCCCTTAAGTGTCTCGTGAGGCATATAATGGACGGCCCCTTGAATGCCTCGTGAGGCACATACCGGACGGGCCTTTAAGTGCCTCGTGAGGCATATAATGGAGGGCCCCTTGAATGCCTCGTGCGGCACATACCGGACGGGCCTTTAAGTGCCTCGTGAGGCATATAATGGAGGGCCCCTTGAATGCCTCGTGCGGCACATACCGGACGGGCCTTTAAGTGCCTCGTGAGGCATATAATGGACGGCCCCTTAAGTGCCTCGTGAGGCACATACCGGACGGTTCTTTAAGTGCCTCGTGAGGCACATAACGGACGGCTCCTTAAGTGCCTCGTGAGGCACATAACGGACGGCCCCTTCAGCGCCTCGCGAGGCACATCACCGCCCCTCCTCTTTATGACTGACGATCAGGGCGGGTGCCGTTTAAGCGAGTGATGGTGTTCAGTCATTTCGTAGTCTCATTCGTAGCCTTGTGCATCAAAAGTTAATGATATGAGTCGTGACCTATCGCTTCACCTGTACCTGGTATTATTTCTGCACCCATAATTTCTGTTCCTTCTTCTGATACGAGAAACTAAGCACAGAGTAGCGCAGCGCTGATATTCCACTATGTTGTATCGATTCTTGGCAAGCAATTGTTTTGTTTTTTGTTTTCCAAGAACCGACACTGACGCTGTTTAGTACACTAACTATCGGTTTATCTACGCGTAGCACGTTGATATCGATTCATATATTTTTACCTAAATGTGCATCGGGGAGACATGTCAAGAAAACGCATTCCAAGATTGGTGTGTTAGAATAAAGACCAAAATAGAAGACGTTTAGACAGCGTTGGATGATTTCGAAGAAAATACTATCTCGCAAGAACCTCGACCGACTGTTCTGCAGACGCCATGCTTCAATTACCTGCGCTTTTTCTGGGCAGAGCTTGATCTTTGGGACGGAAGTTAAATACCGGCTCTGTCCTGGTGAGAGAGTTTATCGGAATCGCGGAAGTCCCGATGTGTCGGGTTGCGCCTTAGGTGTTGTACAAGGGCTATGCGCATAGTTCTTCAGATCATAGGAGCTGAATTTGTGGGCGTTTGCTCGCGGTTTGATGCTTCCCAGGGACGATGATAAATAAATATTTTTCCAAGCTCAAGAGCATTCTTGCGTTCGCTGTCTTTCCCAACGTCAATCTCGTCAACCTGACCGTCGGTTCAGTTTTTTCTTCCGACGCGTATTTGTTGCGGACGACGAGAGGTCCAACTACACCGCGTCAAGGTCATGGCCGAGGGGGCGACGAAGACCACGAATCACGAGCACAGCCACAACATCCTTCCGCAAGCAGTACATCTACTTATTTTAATACGACGACACAGCGAATCGACAACGAGCTATCTCGGCCTTTTCTCAATTGTGAAGCTGGGGGACGATCATTTGAAATACGTGCTGAAGAAAGCCGGGCAGATGAAGCTGTGAAAGAAGGTGTCGCTGTTGGAGATGTTGCTGGAAGATTCCTTCCTTCGTCTCCATCGACGGCGCTGCTACGAAAAAAAGCCATTCCGGCGCATAAGAAACATAGGAACAAGGTGTGGGCTGCTGCCACTGGATTGGGCGTTCTCACTGTCGTGGAATGGCTGGGTGTGGTGCATTTGGTTTCGGGAGGATATAGAAGCCTAGTCGAAGACTTTGCTACATCTAATGGTGCGAAGTCATCTTCCTCGATCGCCAGGTCGGTGCTGAACAATGAGGAGAGCGAGGCCTCCGACGTGATGTCGACGACGAACAGGATGATGTCTCTCCACATCGACGAGAACTACTCTTCACCTATAGCAGATCATGATACTGATCTTCACGAAAATGAAACGACTAGAGATAGATTCTCTGATAGCCCCGTTGTATGGAGCAACATTTGGGAGGCATCCTCGTTGGAAGCTGATGGCGAGACACAGTTCAAAAAAAATGGCAACGAGAACGGGTCCTCAAAGATCAAGATGATATCAGCAGCCGACCACTCATCTGCGGCAGCACCTGAACCGGGAATCTTGGGGACCCATTCCCTTATCAACGCGATGGGAACAGCCCTAGATGTACATCGCTTCGACGACTACCACGATTGGTCCGCGGAGATGGCGAACTATTTTCAAGATTTAGAGCCATGGAAAACCTATCTGGATATTATGCAAAATTTTTGATTTTAAGAAGAACTTCAATTTTTGGCTAATTATTCTGGCCAGGATAGGTTTTTTATGGCTTTAAAAAATGAGATGGTTTACGACTTCGTGGGCCCGTACGATCGCCCATTCCGTGGGATACGAGAGTGGTGGTTCGGCGAGCACTTGCCGTGGGACAGAGCGTTCCCCAAAGCAGTCTTTTCCACCTCCTTCATCTGTGCGGCAACGGCAGACTCGTTGACCTTGGTGGCCTACGTGAAGAGCCGCTTCGTCGCACCCATCAAGGGAATCTCGAACGTGCCCTATATTAGTCGTCATAAAGAAGGAAATCATACGAATCGAGAGAGTGACGAAGGTGAAATAGAAATAAGAGGTCCTGTCGAGATAATGATTGTTGATTTGGATTTCTACCAATTGTCGCCCGCCTCCGCCTCCGCCACGGCAGGGACAACATCATCGAAAACCTCAGTACTACCTTCAGCAAATAAGATGTCAGCAGAAACTAGTTCCTTTCTGTCCAACTCCGAGAATGCTCTCGGTTTCAAAATGCGCATAAATTACAATTGGTGCATGGCGGATCTGTACGGCTTACTGGTCCAAATGAATCGGCGAATTCTTCCAAAAGTAACCAAGCTGCGCGAAGGTCTCTGGTATCCACCACGCACTATGTCGGGTATTCCAGCCCCAAATTCTCGCTTCGTACTCCCGGAGACAACCGGGAAAAGCCAAGCCCTTGTGAGCAAGCTTTTGAATTCACAATTTTTTCGAAAGAAAGCTTCCTCTAGCTCTACATCACCATCCAGATCTACATTCCTGAACGAGCAGAACGACATTAACGGTAGCAACCACCAAAAAGTAGGCTTCCATCTTCATCGAAGCCAGAAGTATACTCAAAGAATGTGGTCGACCGCAAGCAATACTTCTGAAGATGTTGATGTTACAAGTACTGGCACAGGCAGGCATCGAGTTATAGCCTCTCCTTCTACAACTGAGGTGGATCCCAACGACAGAACTACGATTCTTCGCCGTGGGCGCAAGAACGACGACGAGGATCTTGTCGACAAGTGGGAAAACCTATTCACGGAAGACGTTTTGTTTTATGGGAATCCGTTTGGCATTGGGCGCGCAGAAAGTGTGGAAGAAATTCGAGGCGAAATATTTGAAAAGATTCTAGATCGTGCCTTCGATTCCTACTTCGTGGAGCCGGACATTGTCGTGTGCGAGGGAGAATTCTGCGGAATCCACGCGCACCTTTGCGCCTCCGTTTGGAGGAAGAGCTCGTGGCTGGGGGTCGCACTCGACTACGACGACCAGAACTACACTCGTAACCACATGAGCAGAACTACAACAGGACGTCGAAAGGCTGTTGAATCTCCCACCTCCTCGACGCCTTCCTGCATGTACCGGATTCGATTTGCGTTACACTTGAATATCGAGAAGGGTGAGAAAATTAAAGACGCCTATTGGTTAATCGATCTTTTGGGCGCTTTTAAACAGATGGGTCGGGACCTCGTAGCCGACGCGAAAAAGCTTGTTTAGTTGCTAACGGATGCTCTGTGAAAAAATTTGATTGATTCACTGATTGACGAAATTTTGCGTAGAGAGGAGCTCAGCTTCAGGCTTGAGTAGCCCATGAAGCATGTTAATGATTAACGAGGGTAACTATTTTTTGTTCCTGCTGTTGCTGTCATAATGAAAAAACTTGCTTCTTTTAGGGTATGAGAGATCGGTAAAAAGGTGTAAAAAGGGGTGAGTCGGAAAATGTATGATTATTAGCAGAGGTCGTGGGCAATCTTCTTTTTCCCGACAGACAAAAATTTTAGGATTGCTAGCCGTCGAAAGAGAACGGCCAGCACTAGCGGTCGTTGCAAAACCAGACCGGTGAAGTGAGTCTGCGAAAGTAACAAGGCCTTTCAAATTTGGCTTTTTGACTAGGCCGCTGTTGTTAAAAACATATATTTAGGCGAATGCGGAAGAAACACAATAAATGAACCCTCAACAAATGACTAATACAGGAAAGATTCTTACCTGTGGCCGTATACGATTATAGCAAAAAATGAACTCCTTTCCAGGTGCACTATAAGGCATTAGCGTGGGCTCCCCTTGTTTGGGTGCCACACCACAGAAATTCTAGGGAACAAGTCAATCTTGGCTTCATGGCTTCGTAAGCAGTCTGTGATTACCAGAACTTTGTTGTCCGCTGTCTTTGTTGAGCACTCTACCATATCAACCAGGCGGGGAGGACTACTATATCAGAACTTGGAGCGCGTCTATCTCGCGGGTGTGCGTGTCGTGGAGAGCAGCGAGAAGTCTCGACGTACCACGGAGCCTAGGAAACAGCCCTTCCGCTAACTGGTCGTCTGTGATGGGAGCCGCCGGCGAGGCTTCGTCACCGCGCGAAGGGGACAGCGAAGTTGCGGCACATCTGCGACGCCGCGAGATCAGGAAAACAATCGCCGCTTTGCAGAAAGAGCTCTCTGACCTGGAGCCACGGAAAGGATGCTGTTGCTGGGGCAAGGCGGGAGAGATGAAAGGACTGCCGGTGCTTGCGACTGCCGCATCCAAGGCGAGGGAGGTCGATGGTGTAGTCGCCGACGAGAGGCCGGCTGGCGAGTATCCTTTAGATTTCGCGATGAAGGTATTGCAGTTCCTGCTAACAAATTTGGCATGAAGGGTACTGTGAATATCAATGTCTGCTATTAGTAATTTCAACCATCTTCTATTATAATGCAGATCGTCCTAAAACTAAATCTGCTTCTGGTTTTGACGCAGGAGGATATCGTTGCCCCATGGCCTATGGTTTTCGAAGTTGCGTGTCGAAACTAATACGTGTTGAGTAACCCCTCTTACAACGACTTTTTCAGATGCTGCAAATCCTATGGCCGAATGCGGAGCGCGCATTCGCCAAGCGCATTCAGTATGGCATTGTGCCGATGCTTGCAAAAGACCTTCCCCCAGCTATGCAGGATATCTCGGTGAGGCGCATTTACCTGGGTAAAAAGCGGCCAACATTTGGGCCATTGCGGCTGCGACCACCAGTATATGTGAATGGAAGACCATCGCAGAACCTGAGTCCGAGTAAGGGGTTTCGACGTGAAGGTAGCCTTCGGATGGGGTCTCAGAGTCCGGGTCGGCTGCCGAGTTCGTTCTCATCACCAGGCGGCGAGCGGTCGTCCTCCTCGCGCTGTCCGCTGGGCACGGAGGGACTTCACGGCGCTGCGGCGCCGGGGTCGTCCGGTGGACCTCTTAGTGCTCGATCATCTGTGCTGCCATCTATTCCGCAAAAAAGCTGCGCGGCCGAACACGTGGAGACCAATAGTTCTTGGCTTTGCAGCGGTGGAGGATCGCAGGCATCCTCTTCCAATCCGTCTTGGCTGCTACGTTCCTGTATGTTAACGGATTCCTGTACGACGTCGTCATCAAGCAGTGGACCGTCAACAAGTAGTGCCGACGATACCCTGCGAGGACACGTGGATGGGGCGACGGAGATAGTTATGTCGCCAGTGTGGACACCGTCCAAGCGAAGTCGTGGACAAGAAGGACGAAGGAGAAGTAGGCACAATACTAGAGACTCGCGGAGTAGGGGAGATCGTGTCGAGTTTCGTCCATCTGCATCTTCTGACGATGCGCAGCAGACAACTGCGAAATTGTCGTATTCTCAAAAAAATAGGAGCAGCAGAGCCGCCGGCACCACTTCGTCTAGTAGTAGTTACAACGACGATAATTACAACAAAAGTGAGCACAAGAGGAGTAGTGCACGGCCATCAACGACTGCCAATCTTCCCGTTGAACAGCAAAGTTCGCACGTCGACGACGTCGAGGGTGCGCATCATCATGAATCAAACTCAGCATTCGACACTCTTCATTCGCGCAGTCCTGAAAGGTCTGATTATAGTGCTAATGACGAAGATCTTTCGCTGCCTTTGAGCGAAGTATTTGCAGAGGCTATTCAAGATGTTTTGTCGGAGGTTTTAGCCAGCAGTTTTGGTCCCGCTATGACACCCGATGAGCGCTCTCGAATGTCCTCAGCATCACGCAGTAGCGCCAAAAGAAGTTTTTCGGCTTCGGAAGCAGGAACCAGCCGTGAAACTGGGTCAGGTGTCACGACCAAGACTAGTCGGTGCAAAGGAGCAGTACGCGGTCATCGACTATCATGGGAAGAGACGTGCAGCGGAAGGAAACCGGACTGGGACTCGGCCAGCAGTTGCAGCAAAGGAGAAGGCTCTACTACTGGGGGAAATGGTCGCGATCGTTGCGCCGGCCTCTCAACACCAGATCAGCGTCGCATGCAAAAACTAGTCGAGAGGCAAAGGGTGGTGGAAGGAAGCCACCGACAAGACGACAGCAGCGCCTTTAGTGATGTCGTCTTAGACGACAAGGTCGCGCCGGAAGCGAGTTCGCCGCTCTGCTGTTCACCACAGGCGCCACATCCTGGGACGCCAAGAAGAGGGCGCGAAGACAGGTGAGATAGATCGGCACCTCCTCGTTTTTCAGTTCTTATGAATGTCCTTGGCCGAAAACATGGACGCTCGCAGATAGGTAGTTAACTAGGAATTATTTGATCAAAAGACAGATAAATGAAACTCGCAAGTGAATATGAAAGAAGAAATAGAAAGCCCAGGCCATTCACAATGAAAATTTTCGCCGACTTCCCACAGCCAGCAGTCGTCAACGCAAGGGGCGGAACAAAAAAGTTCTCGACCAGATTCGGCGAGAAGCGAAAGGCGGGAAAAACAAGAATGGCAGGAAGCCGCTGGGTACCTCGGGACGGCGGAGGTGGAGCAGCTGGCTTGGGAAATGCCGTTCGAGTGGAGAAGCGACATGGTAGTGGAATTCAGCGCATTAAACGGAATGGTAAGGTTTGGGTGCGAAGAGTTTTTTATGAAGGGAGAAATGCAGATAGTAATGCGGCCTATTTTGAACGAGTTGCCTCTTTACGGCGGTGCAACGGTCGGCTTTATCAACCCACCGCAGATGGATTTCAACTTTGTGGGGACAGGCGCTGGTCTTGCGCACGTCCCTCTTTTTGCTCGCAAACTGCGCCATGAAGCAGAGAGCCAATTTGCGAAGCGGTTCGTCTTGCCAAATTCCATGTTCATACGCATGGGCCCCGTGGAAAAGCTCGACCTGGCAAGTATTTGCTCTGTTTTGGTCTTACTTTACGTATAAATATGTAAAGTTTATCATCAATACTGTTATCATTTAAGTGACCCCATTTTCTTGTTGAACTTGAAACTACATTGCCATGCATATCTATGACTATGATTCAGGCCTCAAGTTCCATCCTCCACCGGAATTTTGCGCGCGCGTTGAAGTTCTAGAGGCGCGGAATGTTCCAAGCTCAGACTTTCATATCTTTTCGCAGGCAAGTAGCGACCCCTACGTGAAGTTCAAACTTGGCTCGCTGGGTTATCAAACAGACGTCATTCCAGAAAACCTACACCCAGTGTGGTCGCAATACGTGTTACGGCAAGCTTGATATCTTTACTTGCTCACTAGAATATGCTGGTACAAATTGTTGAGCCCTCCGCGTTGCTCTAGAAGTTTCATTTTCTGAGTTCAGCTACTTAAAAAGAATAACTCGTGGAACAGAGAACTTTGTTCTAAAGACATTTTTTCTGTGCTACTAAATCGGCGTAAAGTTGTCTCTAAGCATTAAGCGGTCTGGGGAGTTTATGATTTACAATTCGAAGCAGCGTCTGTACGTGGAGCTTTTCGATCGCGATGTGCTGTCCTCGGATGACTTGCTCGCGAAGGGCGACTGGGTAATCGGCGATATATTCGGCGACCATTGGCATGATTTAGAACCAGTTATGTGACATGATAGGTGGTAAAAGATGGCATCATGACTTTGAACCAATTATGTGGTGACTTTATTCATTGGCATGGTTTAGAAGAGCCGGCTATGTGACGCTGTTGTTCTGTCTTCAGTATTGGTGTCGCCTTCACCCACACTGTTCAAAAGTTTCTGCATGTCTTATCACAACATTAGAAAACGGCAGTTTCTCGTTCGAATTTACATTTTTCTTGAAAAAGTATCTAAAAATCTACTGAGTAAGATCAGGTAGCTAGTACAACTTCTACACGATACGTAGTGCTGGGTCAGGGCCTTCTAAGCCACTTGTGGAACCTAGCGGATCTGCAGTGTCGACGAAAATCCGCCTGCGTGTGACGAAACTACAACTGCAAGTACAAAGTCTAGAGATGCCCGAGACGAATCGTGCACGTCCTAACTTTAAGGGGTCTTTGACGCGAGTCGTAGACCCTTTTGCAGACGACCGGAATAGCAACACTAGTGCTGAGGACGACAGAGACGGCATTGACCCGATGGAGGTGCCGACACGAGTAATCTACGAATCAAAAAAGCCTCCTTGTCGTATAGAGTATGCTCTCTGCTGTTCCGCCTTGTTTCTAGCACTAAAAGGTGCTGGTGGTTTTACTAGAAGTACGTTTCTTGGTCTTGGTGTTGTACTTCTTCGATGATGTAGTATCTAACATACAATGTTTCTTAGCGCGTTTGTGTTGTTAACGCTTGTGACTGGCTTGAGTGAATGCAAGTCCTTTCTGTAACTGATGCTTCTCGGAGAGCAAAATAGCCAGAAGAGTTAAGACAAGCATGATGATGCAAACTTTGAAAAAGTGACTATTTTTATATAGGCACTTTTGATCATCTATACATCTGAAAACATGTGTAATTAACCTCCATCCATAACAGGACGCTAGTGGTTTCCCCTTATATGTGCGTAGAGGTGTGCTGCAAATCTTGATTGGATTTCACCTTTTGGGTGAAGGTTTAGGTCCCGCGACGCTCAAAGCACTAACAAGTAAAGCACCCGGCTAGTTTTCACCTCACCAAGTCTAGGCCTATCCCGTGCAGCAACATGCAATGCTTCTTAGAAGTACTAGATTCTTAATCAGCTTAAGGTGCCTCAACATGACAGAAACTCCGCGCACATGACAAGATTGATAGATGTAGTTCTAATAGATGCGTCAGTCGATCGCACACACAAAGTCGGTATTGGTTTCAATGGATGCCGTGCTTCGACCGGAGAAGCCGATCCCGCTCCATTGCCAGCCACACACGTTTTTACTTGAGGTGCGTGTCTGGGGATGCACCGGTTGCAAGGCAAGCGGTATGTCCGCCGTAAATTTACGCCTAGACATTGCGGGGAAGAACTATGACACGGGTCGCAGTTTGCAGCAGATCAGCGTGAAACCAGGAACGCTGGAAAAGGGAGGTGCCCGCGCAAGAGCCTCAGCAACTGCTAACGGCATTGACGAGCTGGTGGGCGAGGATGCGGAAAAGATAAAAAACATCGGTGTCAGCGCTGAAGTCGTGCAGAAACTTAAATTTGCGGGTTTTACGGGTGCAAAAATAGCGAAATTCCTCGGCTGCGATGCGGCGGACGTGAATCTACAACTGCGAGGGGCACACGAGGAGATCTGGTGCAGGAGTGTTTTTGCCTTCATCCGCGATCCGGAAGAATCAGAGGTCAAATTCAGTATCCTCGGCAGTAAGTCCGCGTTCGACCCATCTGCACGGTACAAAAAATACCACGACGAAGCGAAGAAGTCAATGCTTGGTGCGCGCCTCGTCACAGGAGCCATCAATCTTAAGAACTTCTCTGTTCTATCAACAAGCATCTGTGACTTCTTACTTTCCATCCTTAAGAGGTCAGGGATGCCCTGAAGAATGCAATGGGATGACCTCTAACACGTGTATCAGCAGTGGGGTAGCGGCAGTGACCCGCTTGTCGTCGAGTCAGAAGCGTCGCTCATCGCAGGCTTCAACTGGCAGAAAAGGTAACGGTACTGTGTCTTTACATTCGAACTAGCTTGAGTTGTAGAGGCTCTCCTAAATGAAATTTTGATTTTTCTTTTATTTGCAGGAAGCGGGAAAAATTTCAGTAATGTATTGGATTTTTGTTTTCCAGGAATCGAGCGTGCTGAGCGTGATTTCGACCAGCTGGTGGTCGACTCGGCAGGCACTAGCCGCACTGCCTTCGAGGGTGGAGAGAAAGCAGCCTCGGTCGAGGAAGACGTTTTTGTCGAAGAGGAATTTTCACTGCAGAGTTCACCCACGTTAAGGCTTCTGAACCTAAATCATATTAATGGACTAGATTCTTCTAGTAGGTAGTCGAGTAAGGACTACAACAGGGAGCGAACGCATGACATTCTTTTAGCTGGTGATGACTGTTCTTGCTGGTCGTAGTGTTGTACTTTTGGCTGGTGATTCTATGTACTTCCTAGATACGCGACCCCTCCTTTTTCAAATTTTTTAGAATCATGATGAGTGATGATGATGTCATAGTTCTTTGCTGGTGATACTATAGTCTGTGTCTAATGATCGAACGACCAGAAGATCCTGAGGATCCGGTCTATAGGGAAAATATCGCCAAACAGGCGGCTCCGAATGTGTACGAGCTCGCGAACTTACTGGAGAAAGACCATGGCGCAGACCGACAGATGCTGAAGCCTGGTGGCAACAGTGTGCCGCTGGAGGTGGACGTCTCGTTCCAGCTCTATTCTCTCGTGCACGCGCCTTAAGTTCCGCGCCACATTTCTGCTTTGTTTTGGAGAAGTCCTCGTCGCACTTTTACTTTACTGTTTACGATCTACTTGCTAACTTACATTAAATTGCTCGCTGGTGATCAAATGATGGTCAGATAGACTTAAACAACTTGTTAAACTAGCCCGTTATAATCCCGAAATCGATTACAACTAGTAGTACCCACGTATCTACACCCAAACTTACATAATCAAGTGGCATCTGGTCATGGTAGGGCTTGGTGAGCATAAAATGTACAGCAGCGTCTCTTCTGATGTTGCATCAATATCACACTTGCGTGCTGCATAGCGGAACAATACAATAGAAATGACAGAAGAACCATGTATAGTCAGAAGCTGGGGCCTGGATATCTTTCTGTCATCTATTCTTGGTTGGATCAATTACAAGCGTTTGCTGCAGAGCGGTTTTAGCCTACATGCACCTAGTATGTAAATACACTAGAGAAGAATCCTGTAGCTACCTAGTCTTTTATCTTGTAATCAATTATGAAGCATGGGGGTAATGCTAATATTTGTTTCGATTTTATTCAGACTCTTTCTTGCTGTTTTGCATCGACGCTCGTGTGAGCTTCGCAGTTCGGTCGTCAATCGATGTTTGCACTTATTGATCATTCTCATTAGCTGCAAGGAGTCAACAGGCACTTGGAACAGTTTAGGTCATTAGTTTTTACAGCTCAAATTTACAACGAACTGAGACAACAATGAGAATAGATCACCAATATCTTGCGACTACAGCCTTGTTTTCAGTTCACGTACGTTATGATCTTCGGAAGAACTCAGTCACATTTGCTTTGGCGGTATGGCCGTGTTTAGTCACATTTGCTTCGGCATTATGGGCGTGCTTAGTCACATATACTTTAGCAGTATGGCCGTGTTTAGTCACATCTTCAGCAAAATTTATGGTGTTGTCACATCTTCAGCAACAGTATTGTGGCAAGTAATAGACTCAGCAATAATATCTGCTTACTATTGTGGTCATAATTCCACTAGCTTAAATGAACAGTTTCCGATGGTAGATGTCAATCATGTCATATGAATCCTGCACCCCCAATCTCAAATAGAGTCCCCTGTCATACAAAGCGAGAAAGACTGACTGTGATTTTGTGATGTTTCGTAGTTATCGAAACTTTTTGTCGTCCATCCATCGGAGCAGGGCCTACGAGGGCAATTCATCGGAGCCGCCCGTTAGAGTAAGTAAGCGGGGTGGAGCATTTTTCGGTAGTGGCCAGTTGACGTTTGGCTACAGGCGAGAGCATTGTGTCTGAGCTAGGTCCCGTGCCGTGCGTCATTGTAAACAGACGAGATTGCGGAAGACGTTGAGCACGATGGGGGGAAGCGACTAAGAGGGTTTTTTTGAATACTTGCGCGCGGAGAAATGATTTTATCCGGAATGAATCAATGATGAGGCGGATCGGGTTTTTTCCTGCGAATAGGCATGGTTCGGTTGAAGAACGTTTCAGGATGAATACACTTGCTCTTGCAGGAGGACTGATACTGTGGCGAAGGAGCACTAGCAACGTTGCTTAGGTGCCGCAGTAAGCCGTGCGTAGAACAAAATCAGCTACAATTAGACTGCACTTGTCTATTGTGTCTTAGGTCGAAACCTTTCGCGTCTTACTTCTACCGTCTTGATATTCATCCTGCTCTCTGGACGTACTTGAGTAAGTGGTAGTTCTGTCTCCAACTCCTGCTTCCTCCACTACCCAGATGAAGTCTTTAAAAATCCATTACTTGGACCTACGTATGTTAGCCGTTACAGTCACTAGAAGAAAGAATTTCCAAAGCAAGCCGGAGAGTTCTTGTTTCGACATCTGTAGTTTTTAGAGATTCAATCAGAATTCGAATATAGACCTCCGTCATCATCTTCCCTGAGTGGTCTTCGTACGTTGCACACTTTTTTTACCGGTCGTCCAGTGCAAGTTTTCCCGGTCCAGCAATGTCAACGTATAACAGTAGTCACGGCTCCCCGGCCATATGGGATTCTGCCCTTTACACATCACCTGCGCAGCGCTTCGGTCCGCCGATTTCCTTCTCATCTTCCTCGTCGACCAGCGGGAGGCAGCCAGTGTCTTACAATTACCCAACCGCCGTGCGTTTTGGTGCGCATCCAAATTTCACAGGCGTAGTCGAGAACACACAATTGAAACCAAAGGACAAAGCAACGACATCTTCGAGCAGGTAATAATCTTCAGAGTTGAAACCACTGTCTGAGGAAGGGGCAGCACTCGAGTTGGACAAAATACCTTCGTCACTCTGGTTGAACTCCCACAGCGACAAAACGCAACAGAGAGTAGTGTGAATTTTTTTCTGAAGTCTTTTGTTTTCTTCCAAGATTTTTTTTTCAGGTGCCGTAGTGGCACACGCGCACCAGTGCGTTGGCAGCAGAGGGCACCTCGAGGAAAATACGCACACTACCCACACGAGATCGAGCAGGGACTGCTGAGAGGCGGAAGTTTAGGATGGAAACCCGATACCAGTGCACCCAAGAAAGACCTGTTTCAGGTAAGCGAGCCGGAAAGTCCAAGGGGTATAACTACTAATTACTCTGCTATCTATATACATAGAATTTGGTCTTGTTACTGCAGGAACAAACGGTTGAAGGAAGAGCAGGTTGAATTGCGTGTGTTTTTGTCTGTTTCTTGTAGATGATGAAATAGGTAACAACCTCTGATGTCTGTCGTTCTTCAACATAAGTTTCATTAGTATTTAGGTCTGTTTCATCTGTACAGGTCAGTTTCATCTGTAGTGCTTCATCTGATGTATAGGTAAGTTTGCCCGTGCAACCTTTCAACCGAAGGAAGAGTGGAAGCCCTATAAAGAGCACGAGCGGAATCCGCGGGGACGTGCGTCAAGATTTTCAGCGGAACTCGACCCGTTTCCTGGTCGATATGAACAGCGCAAAGACGCGGAATAGCAATGTTGGTGACGAGAAGTCACCCTATGTCTACATATGAGAAAATTTTTAGATGTAGAAGAGTTTCGCCATTTTCTGTTCTTGCTTCTAAGAGATATGCACCCACTGATACTGCAGCCGGAATACGATTCGGGGGGCAGAAGTGCACTGCTATGTCTGAATTGAATGATAAATCACGTTTCCCTTCACCTTTAGAAGATTGCCATTGCCGCCTTCTTTGCAAAAGCTTGTACAGTATAGATCATGACCAGCAAAGTTTCCCCTCTCGCGGTCATGATCTGCTCACAGCGACAGGTGAAAAATGCTTATATTGTTGTAAAGATGCCTCTAAAAACGCTGAGTAAGAGTTTGACCGGTGGTGCACTACTGAAAAACGAAGAGTCTCTGGCTTGCATCATTCGAAGTGACTGGTACTAGACGAGTGCTAGTAGTTTTTTACCTTCGTGCACACGATCCTACATCTAGAAATTCTGGCAAGTTACAGAAAAGGATCACTGCAATATGTTGTTACAGATCCTAGACCTTCTTCGCAAGATCAATTATCGTATACACCACAATCCGATCACAAAACGGAACAGAGTCTCTAGGACTCCGAAGATCCAACCGTGAAGAATCGTAGAGCAGAAACAACAGAGATTCATCTGCTCTTCCTTGCATGATAAGGGTCAGCAAAGAGGCCAAAATCTGGATCTACCATTCTAGAGGTAATGAACACACTACACGGCTTTTTCGACAGAATCACAAAGCTTACACATCAAACTACTCGACAGAGAATAATAAGACTTGAAGACGAGATCTTGCTTTTCGATTTTGTCTGAATTTTACGTAATTGAAGTACTAGATTCAAAAACTTAGTCGTATTTTTCCCTTTGTACACCGCACTAGAACTACAACTTATTCCCTACCCTTCGTCTTTCCACATTTATTGTTGTTTTTCATTCTTTGCAGTTTCTAGAATACCCAAAGATCTGCAGCACCAAAAATTTTTTATAGACTAGTTTTCAATCGAGCAGAAATTTTTAGTTCGTGATTTCTCCCACCCGGTGAATCAATTCTTAGAACTTTCGCAAATTACCCCTCAAAACTGTATCGGCAGCTCATGCATCATCGTAACAATAACTAACTATAAGTAGAATTAATACATACCAACCACCTATTTTTTTTCGGGTAATATTTTTTTTCTTCTTTTGCAGGAGAGGCAATACTAACTTCTCGTAAGTACTACAACTAGCTTTCTTGTTTTTAAATTGTATATTTTCTGATATCGATCGTCGATGATGTTGTCTACCCCCTCGCATGCCCGCTGCACCCGTTTGGGTGATTACAAAGGCATTAAGGTGTCACGGATATTCTTCTTGATCGGTTTCGCGTTAACTGGGGCTTGTCTTGGTGCGGATTCCGTATCACTTGGGGGAAAGATGGACATGCTAACGCCGAGAGGGATTCTACCACAAATACCCGACCTTGCGTTTGCTGCAGCATCATCGGGGTTACAAAATACTGCCGACAGCTCGAAGGCAACGGGCAGGCCAGGTACAACCATACGCGTAGGTGGCGCATTGCCAGTGGAGGAAGGCACAAGGATTCAGACGGATACCAGACCTACCCAGACTGCAAGTGATATGACAGAAGGCCCGGCGCAGGCGTGCTGGTCAGGGACAACCAGGGGCTTAGAAGATCCCAATGACCCGGGGAATCGGAGCTCGGAAATGCGTCGTGGCTGCTCAGAGGAGGCTTCGTCAGTATATGGATCAGTTCGAGAAGAGGTTCCGATCTCTGACGCTGCGGTTTCCGATACAACTGACGAGCCGATCAATATCGACCCTTGGGGTGTAGGTTCTGATGCGAGTACCTGCGGACCTGACTGTGATCTTTGTTCTCCCACAGAAGATGGTGTTGCAAGCACTGTGGGTAGCGACTTGGTGCCGCTGCACCCCCGAGAGGGTGACAGCCATCTGTCACTTACGTGTCATCACTATGTCCACAGGCGCTGCCTTTGGAAGGAAGTTGCCCGTCGACTCGTCTTGGGGACAAATTGGCCACTGCCTGCATCGCCCCGCGACCCATTGCCGGAATCTCGATGGAACGACTGGAGTTTACTGATGATGAGGAGAAATCCGACACTGAACGTTGCCGCTATGGGTTGCGGCCCGCATTGCGGTTCATCACTGCTGCATTGCCTCACCTACAGACAAACCAACGGGATTCTCAGAGAAGGTCTACGAGAAGGGATGAGCACCGATGACCTCGAGCTACTAAAAGAGGCGCTTCAAACGGATTCTATCGATAGAGTTCTAGGAGACCCAGCTCTGATGAATCTTAGTGTCGCAGAAAAAAACAGAAAACGGCAACGGGCAAAGCTCACTCTGGAAAGATTGGAATACCTTTTCGACCGTCCTGCAGGGGCCGGCGGCAAGGCAGAGCCTGAGACTGAAATGCGGAAAGAGCAGCGTTGTTTACTCGTAAGAAAAATATTTGCAGCTCCCGGGCCAAAAGAGATTCCGAGTTGTGCGAATCCCGTAAGGTCAGCCGTGGGCCTGACTGCTAAAGTGGTTCTCGTTGGCACGCTTGCTAGTGTAGCCGGAGTGGGAATTGAAGCTGTTGGCGGGAAGATCTTCCCGACTTGCTTGCAGGATGGCGCAGAAGGCGCGAGCACAACTCTTCCTCCAACTTTGAACCAAGCTTACGGAGACCATGCCCATGAGGAAAATGAGGCCTTCGCCACAGGTCCTGCGCATGAGCTGTTGTTGGCCTTGAGAGCTAACGATGGAACCGAGACCACGGGAGATCTTGCTACTGATAGTGGGCCGCAGTCGTCGTTCTTTTTAGCACCACACCTGGTCGCATAAGGATAGAAAATAGAGGTCACGATAGACGCGGCGGGACCAAATACAGCGAAAGGCGCAGAAGCGCTTGTCTTTGGATGCTGAAAAGTGGAAAACGCATGATGGATTGAGAACTCGGAATGTAGAGCAATGAATAGTGCTAAAGAACTCGCTTTCATTAATTATTATAAGTTGATAGATAAAAAACATAACAAAAAAAAAATCTATATTATTAATCTATATTATTAATCTATATTATTAATCTATATTATTAATCTATATT